GTATTAAGAAAACCACAGGTGTATCTTTTTGCTGTTTTATGCTTTAATAAATCAAATACAGGTTGTCCCTTGACACTTAAAAAGAACATATTATGCATATGTTCATGTGTATATCAGTATGTAGTGTCTCTACTTTAAAGAGTCCTCTCCTGCTGATGTTCAGGTGTATATCAGTATGTAGTGTCTCTACTTTAAAGAGTCCTCTCCTGCTGATGTTCAGGTGTATATCAGTATGTAGTGTCTCTACTTTAAAGAGTCCTCTCCTGCTGATGTTCAGGTGTATATCAGTATGTAGTGTCTCTACTTTAAAGAGTCCTCTCCTGCTGACGTTCAGGTGTATATCAGTATGTAGTGGCTCTACTTTAAAGAGTCCTCTCCTGCTGATGTTCAGGTGTATATCAGTATGTAGTGTCTCTACTTTAAAGAGTCCTCTCCTGCTGATGTTCAGGTGTATGTCAGTATGTAGTGTCTCTACTTTAAAGAGTCCTCTCCTGCTGATGTTCACGGTGTATATCAGTATGTAGTGTCTCTACTTTAAAGAGTCCTCTCCTGCTGATGTTCAGGTGTATATCAGTATGTAGTGTCTCTACTTTAAAGAGTCCTCTCCTGCTGACGTTCAGGTGTATATCAGTATGTAGTGTCTCTACTTTAAAGAGTCCTCTCCTGCTGATGTTCAGGTGTATATCAGTATGTAGTGTCTCTACTTTAAAGAGTCCTCTCCTGCTGATGTTCAGGTGTATATCAGTATGTAGTGTCTCTACTTTAAAGAGTCCTCTCCTGCTGATGTTCAGGTGTATGTCAGTATGTAGTGCCTCTACTTTAAAGAGTCCTCTCCAGCTGATGTTCAGGTGTATATCAGTATGTAGTGTCTCTACTTTAAAGAGTCCTTATGCTGATGTTCAGGTGTATATCAGTATGTAGTGTCTCTACTTTAAAGAGTCCTCTCCTGCTGATGTTCAGGTGTATATCAGTATGTAGTGTCTCTACTTTAAAGAGTCCTCTCCTGCTGATGTTCAGCTGTATATCAGTATGTAGTGTCTCTACTTTAAAGAGTCCTCTCCTGCTGATGTTCAGGTGTATATCAGTATGTAGTGTCTCTACTTTAAAGAGTCCTCTCCTGCTGATGTTCAGGTGTATATCAATATGTAGTGTCTCTACTGGGACATGTCTCCATGCTTTAATGTTCAAAAAGCTCTTTATTTTTCTCATACTGCCTGTGCTGCAGCACCTCTTTTCACCCTCGGTCTGACACCAGAGCCCAGTCTGCTCAAGGTTCAAGGTTCAAGGCTTGTATTGGTCATGTGTACATAGCTACAGTGTAGTTATGACGATGAAAATATTAGGTCACAGGCTCCTCCAACAGTGCAACACAATGAAACTGAAAAAACTGAAAAAATAGTGCAAGTAAATACGAAAAGAAAAATAGTAAAAAAGTGGAATAGTGCAATAAGAGTCTATATGCAAGTGATTGAATATGATATATTAGATAAGTAATTTCTAAATTGCAGCCTGATTAATGTTGTGGATGTTGTTTCAAAAGTTCCGATGTTTAACAACTCTGATTGGTTAGCTGGCCGGCTCTGTTGTGATTGGTCAACTGCTTAGAGATGTCCCGCCCATTAGCCTATCACGTACAATGTGTTGGAATGCTAGTTAATACAAGTGCTAGTATTACATAGTGATGTCACTGTGTTAGGGAGAGAAGGATTTCAGCCTTTTCAGACCATTTACATGCACAACAAAAGTATATAACACACTACAGGAAAGGGGAAAACCCCTTCAGGACCTTTTTAAAACTAGCCATTCATCTGATGAGGTCTCAGGCCATTTTCTAATCGATTAATCTTGCTGTGGGACGTAATTAGTTCCAAGATAGAAAAAAAACCGCCATGCTTAGTCAGTTTCCTGTGCGCTCTGAAATGGATTTAACGTAGCAACATCAGGAGACTTGACTTTATGCATGCCAACTTTGTATAGACCTCTTGCAGGAAAGAGATAACGCCACAAAACTGCAAAGTCAACAGTTTAAAGTAGTGGTGCTACTGTTTATTATAAAGGACTACATTTTTGCTGTTGTCCTTTTTCTACCATAGTAAAAAATGGCACTTCTTATTGACAGCAGGTAGTGGAAATATGATTGTCCTTTTGCATCCCATCTGCCTGTGGGCTGTGGAGGAAATAACGACATTTTAATGAGGTAGAATTAGCAACACCATCCAACTTCTCAATCCGTCATCCAGACTTGTTTCGGGGGAAAATGACAGGAGACATTTTGTCTAGCATGTAATTTGTTTTTTCCAGTCTATTGTCCTATCTCTGGTCGACAGCAGTGACTTATGAGGGCTGTCAGTCAGGCACACAAACTCCATCTGAGTCAAGAATCTGTTCATAAAGACGTGAGCAGAGAAACGGAGCGAGGCAGAGGAGGATACATTGTTCCGTTGCTGAGACAAATGGCTTTGCAAAGTTACATGTTTTGTTATTATTTGTCACTTTCCCTCTGCCAAACACCGTCTGGAAATAAAGGCATTGTATTTTTAGATGCAGCACTTTGTCAGTGCCATTCAAGGAAGTGTTTGGTTTCCAATGATTTCTTCTTTAACTGTGGGGACATGATGCTCTCCAATGCTGTGTGACAAATTGGAAATAGTTCCATTTAAAAAAAAAAAAAAAAAAAGCTTTAAATCCTATTTTAAATTGTTGAAAAATCTGTTGCGAAACCAAACTTTGGCATGTCGTTTTTTCAGCCATGCTAGGAGCTTTTTAAAGGTTGTATTTACTCATATTGATGATACTAAGAGATTAGATTTAGATGTAATACTAACACCAGCTGCCAAAATGCGCACAAAGACAATGCTAACATGCTAATATTAAGGCAGGGGTGTCAAACTCAATTTCATTGCGGGCCACATTCGCATAAAGGTTGCACTCAAAGGGCCGGTTGTAACTATATAAATATATATATAAAATAATGTATTATATTACATTATTGCCTCTGAATTGGATTATTATCGGATAGGATAATAACTTAGTAATTAACTACGTCTGAAAACATAAGTCCAGGGCAAATAATTGCAAGTCTCTTCAGTGCGCATGTCACAAAACGAGATGCATTGTGGGACATGTAGTTTATGGGCAACCTGCTTCTGTAAAGTGGCATGTAACCGTATAATAAACGTATTATATTCTTTGCAAGCTCTTGCGGGGCCACATAAAATGAAGTCGAGGGCCAGATTTGGCCCCCGGGCCTTGAGTTTGAGACCCCTGTATTAAGGGGGTCTTTTTAGCATTTTAGAATTGGCTAGTTCCCATTGAACACAACCTTTAGCTGAGGCTGATGGGAATGTTGTGTGCAAGTAAATGGTCATGACTAGTATCAGACATATTTACATTTAGTGGACCATTAATGTCCATTACATGGCAGCAAGGCAGGTTTATTTATATATATTTAACTCAAAGTGCTTATATAAAGACATTCATTAAAAAGCCAGGAACATACAAATTAAACAAGCTAAAAGAGAACAAGGTAGGTATTAAATACAAGAATAATAGTTAGAGAGCGTAACATAGGATTACCTACAGTATTTGTTTTAAAAAAGGCAACGGCAAAATGAGAAAGTCTTCAGCCTTGATTTAAAAGACTTGAGAGATTCAGACGGCCTGCAGTTTTATGATGGTTTGTTCAAAAAGCAGAAAGCAGACCCGTCTCAGAAGACCTAAGAGTTCTTGCTGGTTCATAATGTAGGAGAAGATCAGAAATGTACTTTGGTCCTTAACCATTCAGTGCTTTATAAACCTACTATAGTATTTTGAAGACAGTTATTTGACAGACAGGAAACCAAGTGTAAAGAGCTCCAAACTGGAGAGACGTGATGTACATCAAACAGTGCTTGAGATATTCCAGTCAGAACCAAAGTAGTCGATTGACTAACGTGTCCTTATTTTGATCTACATCGCAATTCTGGCTGAGGAAACAACGCCAGAATAAAGCTTTACTAAACCAGCCAAGAGTTGAATGTTTTCTGTATCAATTATTTGCTGTTTGAGTCCAAAAATAGCTCTCAGAACGGTGGAAAGCCCACCTCAGTGCAGAGTAGTTTCCCTGAAGTGAAACACAACATTTCTCGCCTTTCTGAGTCACTGTTTGTAGGAGGAGAAATGTGTATTCATGAGCAGAACTCCTGCAAGTGTTCATCATCTCATATTTACTTTCTATTTTACAGAATGCAGAGGTGTCTGTGTTTGAGGTGAACATCCGGTTTGTTGGAGGTCTGCTGTCCGCCTACTACCTGTCTGGAAAAGAGGTAAGAAAACCCACTGAAGCTTCCTGTGGAGTTTCCTCATGAAACTTCAGGAATATATAACGCTGTGTCTTGACTGATTGATGAAACAGAACACATGATGGATGGTTGACATTGAGTGATTGAATGGGTGCTTTTATGTACTCAAAATCTTTAGTTATATCTCTTTTAATAGCTCGTATCCCATCAGCAAGTGCCAATCATTTTTTGAGTATAGGTCTTTTTCTCATCTAGTCCAATACCAATCAGTGTTGATGGCTTGAAAAGATCCTGAAACGTTGTTCCTCTGAGCTTTTGTTTTATGTTGTGGCTGTGCAAAGGTTGAGGACACGGCAATGTTAAAGGAGAGGTGTCATGCTTTTCCGGTTATTACCCGTCCCCTTGTGTGTTATGAAGGTTTTTATGCATGTAAACGGTGTGCAGGGTCAAAACCCTCAAAGTACACCCTATAACGAGTAAAACTCTAACACAGAAAATACCTCCCCAAAACGCCTCGTTGGAGATACGTCATTGCGCCATACGCTGCAGGCTGATAACAGACAGTTGGGATCGCGGCGAAATTCTCTCTGCAGACCCATTCTCACAGCGTTTATCAACCTTTTTCTTACTCAATATCAAGCCACACTTATTGTTTTTACTTCGGATGTGACTTTGTGTGTGCTCAGGATGAGTTTGGCTGTGTATCGCTAACAAGGAAACAACACCTCCACGGAGCTCAGCGCGATTCACAACGTCCCGACCAATCAGAGCACACTGTGCTCACAGGGAGGGTGGGGGCTGGAGCTATTGGAGCTACAACGAGCCGTTAAAGGCAGAGAGTGAAATTCAGTGAATACACATAGTTTACAGAGACGCTGTATGAGAAACCAATGTGAGTTTGGAAAAATGCACAATATAAATCTATTCTAGTAGACCTCAACAATGGAATTATGATCAGTGGAAATGGCCATGACACCTCTCCTTTAATCTATGTATAAAATGAAATGGATATTCTTAGGTTTTTTGTTTTTTTTTCCCCCAGGAACATCCTTGCATTTTAGCAAGAACATCGGTAAAATTAAGGTTGCCTTCAAGGTGCCTTAGATATTGAAAACTGCCATTGTCTCACTGTTGTTCTTTTATAGTTCTACCTTTTTTGAAGCTACAGGGAATACAAAGGTGGTACTCGATAGGCCTTGGGGGGATGACTCTGTTCTGTAGAGTTAAATGATAGCTTGAGACTTGTTTAATTCAAGAAAATTAGAAAAGAGAGGGATTCCACTGAGCTTATTGTGTGTCTTATCGTAGCGCCAGTCCTGCGATATGTGTCTAAATCTGCTTAGTGACAGGCTGTGAAAATAATATCAGCAGGGTATTACACTCAGATCGTGTTTCAATCTGCCAATTCAAGGACGCCTTTAAATCGTTTCTACTTTCTGTCTTTTAATTACACGCCTCAGTGTCTTAATGTATGATAAGACTTCAACAAATAACTCTTTTTAAATCCACTCAAAACCTGGTACCTGGAAGGTATTTTTTGAAATGTCTTCAAAGTTTATATCTGTTTCTATACTGATATCACTGGAGGGATTTTGCTCTGAGTCACTTGTATCTTCTCTGCTGTTGACTGCTGCTGTAATCTGTACTTGTATACACATACACAGGTACTACTATCCTAATCTACAGCATCGTTATAGCGCTGAGCGAACCAGAGCTGTGAGGCTAAGTGCTTCTTTATTAGCAGGAGAGATATCACAGGAAGGATTCAGACTGTGAGTTTTCTGATATCGAAACCTTTTCCCAACCTCAACGAGTCTTTAAATGCTTCAGCACACAGAAAATCTGCAGCAACATTATTTATTATTAAAGGTGGGGTATGTAATTTATTCCAGAAACACTTTTTGTTATATTCCATGGAATGCTCTTAACATCCCGATAGCAATGAATACATTAAATGCTTTGACAATAAATACATAAAAAAATGTCATCTGTGGAAGCCGTGGCGCTGTAAAAAGCACGACCAATCATCTGAGCCGGCCCGGCTAAAATAACTGGATGGCCTACCTGCCTGTCAGCCTTCCATCTGTGCACAAACTTATCTTGTGCCCTCATTGGTCATGTGCGCGTTCGTGTGTGTTGGAGGAGGGGCTCTGTAAGGAAGTCTGAAGGAAGAGGCAGATTTTTTCCGGTTGTGTACTTTCAAATTCTAGCGCACTCGAGCTGGTTTCTCCAAAATGACATACCCCACCTTTAAGTGCTGGATTTTTTTAAGGCTTTTGGCTTTAAATGTGTACACTAACAAGAGCAGTAATTGTTACTTACAGAACACTTACCATAGCAAAGTTGTTAAATACAAATAATTATTTAACAAGTTTAAAGTTGTTAGGCGCTACTTTATAGCTTAGCACCTTATTAACCAAAGTATATTATTCATTCATCATTTACTGTAATTACCACAGCCAATATGCAGTAACAGTATAACACAGATCACATAGGTTAAGTGTTTACAGTCATTTTAAGTGGGCCCTAAATGTCAGTAAGCCTGCAACGAACACACATTTAAATGAACTTATTATTCTGCATATTAGTTTCAGGTTTTTTTGGTGTCATGAAAGCCCAACTTTGTGTTTCTAAAATGTGTTCTTTGTCCAACAAAAAGTATAAAACTCAAATGAATGCAGTTATCACATAAAGAGAAAGAACAACTGCAAATATTCATAGTAAAAAATATAAACTTGAACCACAGAAGAGAGGGATTAGCATTATTGTTTGAGGTCAATATAAAAAAGTAGTGTGTCTGGTTTTAAGCCATGTCATACATTTACAACCAAGATTATTATGCATAACCAGCCAATCATATTCCTAGAAACAAGTGACGAAAGGTGGACAACATATATGAAATGCCACCAAACAATTCCTTGCTTTTAATACAGTTTTTAAAAGACAACAAAATGTGAGAAATGTTTGAAACGCTGGAGGCCAACTGTGACTCAGCAGTCGCTCTTATATCCATTTATTCTTTTTGAGAGACTTCAAGACTTCCTCCAGCATTTTATGTCAGCCCTGAGAGGTCGCCCTACCCTCAGCTGCAGGTCAGGGTGCCCTGGAGGATGGATGGATGGAGGTGGATGGAGGGAGGGATAATAATAATAATAAAGCTTTATTTATATAACACTTTTCATACAACACATGCAGCTCAAAGTGCTTTACAAAATGACACATCACAAGTTAAAAATAAACAACAAGAAATTCCCCTCAGATTATTTGTTAAGAACTTTAAAAAGGTACATGCAGCTAAATATAACATTTTATCAGGTTAATAGACACTAGGAGGTACAATGTATGATAGAAATACAATACAATATGGTGGAGGTGGATGGATGGATGGAGGTGGATAGATAGATGGAGGTGGATAGATAGATGGAGGTGGATAGATAGATGGAGGTGGATAGATAGATGGAAGTGGATGGATTGATGGATGGATGGATGGATGGAAGGATGGATGGATGGATGGATGGATGGATGGATGGATGGATGTTTGATGTTTGTCCTGAAGGCTGTTGATGGACAGGAGGACTGAGTGTTTCTGCCTCTAAAGGAGTGTTAGTGTCGAGCTGAAACACTGCTGGGTGACTCCGAGGGGTTTATGGGCGTAAAAAGACAAACACCATTAAAGCCTGCTGGGCAAAGTGATTTCAAATAAGTTGTTTTGACCATGCAACGGGTCAAAGGGCACACAGATATTCAGTTTTACAATCACACAAGTGAAACAAATAGTGGCTGTACAATTTGGAAAAACTGCAACTATTCGGACTGATATTGCAATTGTAATTTGATATGTGTCATCCTTAAAGAAGCTCTTTACCTGAATTATGTAGACACGTGTGTAAGCTGCAGCAATTCAATTCTTAATTGAGATATTACTCTATTTCTTAATGCGATTTCTATAAGATATTGCCAATTTGTGAAGCCGTACTGGATCTATATTTCTTAAAAGTTATCTTAAAGGAATTATCCATTTTCAAAGTATTTGCAGATCATTTTTGCACCAATTTACTAGTTGTTTAATATACTTATCATTTCAGGTCCCAGTGAATATTGGGACATCCTGTCAGTGATAACATGTGTGATACTAGACATTAACTTATCCCGTAATATTTGTATTTGTGGTACATTATGATCAGTATCTATTTTATTATCTTTAATTCATGTTACTTTTTCATGTGAAACTCGTCCTTGGTCAGTAAACCACAATTTGAATGTGCACTCAAAGCTTTTTTCAGATGAACACTCCAGTTTTCCACATGCTACACTATAACCCGTGCTTTTGGAAACACACTCATGATAAAAGCTCTTGCAGATAAAGTGGAGCTGTACTGCGGGTACATTTAGCAGACTGACATTTTTAAATAAAAAACGGGACTAATTGAACACTGGTCAGGCATTATGTAACTCCCCATTTGGAATATGTATTAGATAAGGATGTACCTGACCTGCTGAGATGTTCCACCTCAAAACCCAAAGAGACCACAGACAGAGAGAGTGAAGTGGAATAGAAAGAGAAAATATGAGATGTGACCTCAGAAACTATTAAGCCTCTTCACTACCTCTCTAGTGTTGCTGTCTAAATTGAAAATTGATTAATTAGAGACAGGAAACGTAGTCAACAAAAGCCCACGCAAAACACTCCATAATGAAAAAGTGTCAGTAAAACACTTCCTTAGACAACTTGTCTACTTCATAATGTCCTCTGTGGAACCTCTATAGAGTGCCACAGTGCCGCGTCCTAAAACCCGGAAGTAAGTTAGCATGTTACCACTTCAGGTTCCTTCGACAAAAACGCAAAGCGATTTCTCCATAGGGTTTTGGAAAATAGCTGGAAATAAGGTCTGTGGTTGAGACACATTGAAGAGACGGATCACGTTTTGTTCTACGACATTAAACACATCAGCAGTGACCCCACTGGTGATTTCTGAAGAGTTGACGTGTCTGAAAAACGATGGTTGTTACCAAGTGGCTGAATA